CAATTTGAGTACCAAAAAATAATAGTAAATTCAGGGGACTAAAACATATCAAGGATGTTAAAAATCCATGATTTCAGGGCACCTGGGTGGCTCAGTGGGTTAAGCGTCTGCCTTCGGCTCAGGTCATGATCCCAGGGTCCTGGGATCGAGACCCGTGTCAGGCTCCCTGCTCAGTGGGGAGTCTGCTTCTCCCTCTCCCTCTGTTCTTCCCCCCACCCCAGCTTGTGCTCTCTTGCTGTCTCTCTCAAATAAATAAAATCTTTTTAAAAAAAATCCATGATTTCATGATACTGAAACAAACAAATTTAACTGATCATCTTTTGAAGAAGGTGAAAGAACCAAGGATTTACCCTGTCTTGATTGTATCAGTACATCAGGGTAACCAAATAGCTGATAAGAAAAAGTTATTTTTAGAAGAATTCTAACTAATAAATGAAGACATGATAGACTAGGTAATGATCACCAATGACTGCGAAAACCATTAGGTGAAAACCTGACAGGACATTTTTTAATGAGTGGATCAGGCTGATGACACTGAATTCACAATTCAATCTTAACATCACCAAAAAAGAGCCCATCAGACATATACACGTTAAAAATATTCTCATCTCAAGTTAAATCTGAATCTAGTCATCTAGATCTACCAGTTTATAGGAAATACAGGGGACAGAGGAAGAACATTAAATGACATCATGAGAATTCAATCAGCAAAATCCAGGATAAGAATTTCCACAGGAAAACCAACCAGTTTCTTCAAAAAATAAATTGCAAGAACAAAAAAATTAAGAGGGAAGGGTACTTACAAATTAAAAGAGAATGAAGAGACATGTTAATCAAATGCAATGTTCATACCTTGTTTGAATCCTGATTTAAACCACCTACAAAACTCGAACCATTTATGTGATATGTTGGTGTCAAACCTGAATATTTACTGGATATTTGATATTATGGGACAAATGTTTATTTCTGGATGTAATAATGGTATGAAATTATGTTTAAAAAATTAGGTTCTTTCTTTTAGAACTCACACTGAAGTTTCACATTTTATATGATATAATGTCTGGAATTTGCCTCAAACTAATCCAAATGGGTTGGTGGAATGTGGGGTGGGTGAGAGTATAGATAAAATAAGATTGTACACATACTGATAGTTTTTGAAGGTGGGGAATGGGTATATGGGGTTCGTCACACCATTCTTTACTTTTATATGTTTGCAATTTTTCACAATGTAAAATGAAAGGAAAATTTGTACAATAAAGAAAAATAAAATCTTAGTACATGTACTTGGCTCAGGAATGAATAGCTACGTAGTCATAACAATAGAAACACTAAATACTAATTTAACTAAGAATTGTGCTATAAAAATAGAAGAAGGGTAGTTTGGGAAGAGAGATAAAGTAAGGGAGAGAAATTCTTATATGCCATAACTGGAAGTCAACAAATAATATGTAACTTGGATAGAGCAAAATACATCAGAATAATGTACTATTTAGAAATACAGAACACCAGAAGAAATAGCTAAAATAAATGCTGTGGTTTCTGGAAAGCAAGACTCAAGAGCAAGGAAGGGTAGGACAGAGAAACATCACTTTTCCTTACTAACCTATTACTACTATTTGACTTTTAAAACTATGTACTTGTATTGTTTGATAGTATTTTATTTATAGACTGCTTCTTAGGTCTTGGTGCTCTGGCTGTCAGCTCCCATAAAATTCAAATTTTGACTCAAGACTCAAGAGTAGATATTTAAACCTCAAATCAGGGCAAACTAGGGTTATCCTATCATCGTAATGGAATGGACTGTCACTACCAGGAACAGGGAGAGAGATGAAGGTATTAAAGTAGTGAAAACAACCTAGGGCTATACATAAAGTATTACTTTTATTACAGTTGGCAACTGGCCTGTATTTGAGTACCTACTGGATTGAATCTTAGGTCCCAGTACAAATTTTGCAGGGAAAAGGAATTTGTCTGGGTAGATGTGGAGGGTAAACAATTTGCCCAACAGAAGCTGGAAGGGCTAGAAACTTGGGTAAATATTGCAAAGAGGTATCCATTCACCAAACATTTGCTGAGCACCACTATGTGTATGAATCTATGCTAAGTGCTGGGCTACAAAATTAAATAATATCCAGCTGCTACCTCCCAGTCTCATGTGGGAAGCACCAATCAATGCACAACAATGCAATATGGTGTAACAAATGCAACAACAGGAGATAAGCAATGGGAGATTAGACTAGAGTACAGAAATGGGGACTCCCTAATCAGACGGAGGCATCAGATAAGGTTTTCTACAGGGTCTAATGTTTGAAATGAATCTTTGAACATAAGTAGAAGCCAGGGGGAGAAGAGTGAGGGCACTGTGGAGAAAGGACAGCCTCAGGCAGGAGCGAGATAGCTCAGTAGGATAACTTGAGTTCCATACGAACAGAAAGAGGAAAGCAGGTGAGGATGTGGCAGAAGATGAGGCTAGGGACCTTCTCATGAAGATCTGTCAGTGCAAAGATAACAAATTTAAGCTTTATTCTAAAAGCTATTGGGTAACTACTGAAGAATTTTAAGCAAGATTGTAGTATGATTTTATTTGCACTTTAAGGACACCTCTGGCTGCAGTGTAGAGAATAAACCAAGGTAAGGGGTTGGAACTAGTGAAACCAGTTTGGAGGTTATTGTAGTAGTTTAGGCAAAAGAAGATGGTAGCTTGGAATTGAGTGATGGTGGTGGTGGTAACAATGGTGGAAATAGAAGAGGGGGAGTCAAGGTATTTTTAGGAAGGAAAACTGACAGGACTTGGAGACTGATTAGATGTGGCTGAGGAGGAAGGTGGGGATTAAGACAGAGGAGTCTAGGATGACATGTCTCTAGTACATGGTACTACCATTTACTAAGGTGAGAAAAAAGAAGCATATTCTGAACGGGAAGAGGATAAATTTGGTTTAGGGCAGCGTTTCTCAACTGGAGGCAACTGTGCCCCCCCCAAGAGACATCTGGAGACAGTTCTGGTTGTCATGACTAATGGCACGTAGTGAGTAGAGGCCAGGGATGCTGCTAAAGTCCTATAATGCACCTAACAGCTCCACACAACAAAAAATGATCCAACCCAAAATGTCAGTAGTGCAGAAGCTGAGAAACCCTGATCTAGGGCAGTGCTGATTTGAATCTGTAGGCCAGTTAAGTAAGGAAGTTCAATAGCCCTTTAGAAATGTACCTCCTAAACCTCAAGAGGGAACAGGAATGCAAATATAAGTTTAGGAGTTATCAATTTGTAGGTGGTCATTCCAGTCACCAACTATACTTGGGTGCAATCTCCCATGAATGTATTTGAAAAGAAGGCCAAGGACAGAGTCCTGGGGGATACCAACACTTATAATAGGAAAGGAGAGGAGAAAGAGATCCAATGGGAAAGACTTAGAAGTGGCCAGCAAGATAGGAGGAAAACCATCAGAGAAAGGAATCACAGAAAGCAAACAAAGAAAATGTTTCAAGGAAGGAAATAAGAAAAATAAGTGGTGTCAAAGGCAGAGAAAAGTTGAGTAAGTTAGGGAAAGTTTCCATTGGATTTGGCAAAATAGAGTCACTGATGACTTTGACAAGATCAATTTCTATGGGGTGTTAAGGGCAGAAGAACCATGAGATTTTTTTTTAATGGGAGATATTTAATATGTTTATGAACTTAAAGAAAAGAGCCAATAGAGGTCACAGGGAAGGAGGTACAGAAACAGGAGAAAGGGCGCCTGGGTGGCTCAGATGGTTAAGCATCTGCCTTCAGCTCAGGTCATGATCCCAGGGTCCTGGGATGGAGTCCCGCATCAGGCTCCCTGCTCGGAAGGGGGCCTGCTTCTTCCTCTCCCTCTGCTGCTCCCCCTGCTTGTGCTCTTTCACTCTGTCAAATAAATAAATAAAATCTTTAAAAAGAAACAGGAGAAAGAGGGTATGTAATGAAGAAGCAAGGATCTAAAGGAGGGAGGAGATGAGTCCAACATGGTGTTTCAAGGAAGGATAGGAAGGTTGGAAGACCAACCGCCTCTTTCACTGAAATAGGAGGAAAGGAGGGATAAGATTTCAGTGGAATTGGTAGATGTTAGGAGAAGAAGCTAAGAGAGTTCTCATGTGATACCCTTAACTTTTCAGGGAAGAATGAGGTACAATCATCTGCTAAGGGCAAGAGTAGAAGTGATGGGGTAGGGAATTGAGGAGAGGTAAGGGTTTAGAGAAGTTACTGAAGAGAATGGGAGAAGAAACTGATGAGGCCCCATGTAGGAAGACTTCTGGAGCACAATTCTACAAAGGAAGCTGCATCCTAGAAGCGAAATCCTAGAGGTCAGGATGTGTCCTATTAGAAGGCACCACCCAAGTGTCAGGAACTTAAATCATTAGGAGGGTGGGTGCTCATAAGAACCAACAGGGAACAAGAGTATCATTTGCGAGTGCTGTTCAGTCCTCATGAGCAAGGCTTTTGACTTGTTTTCTTAAGTTCCACAAGGGCAGGTACCATGCCTATTTGAGTCATCACTGGATCCCCAGCACCTGGCACAGTGCCCAACACATAGCAGGCACTCAGTAAATAGTAGGTGCATGAAGAAAGGATATAAAAACGTCTTACAGGACAACCTCATGATGTAGATGCCTTACCACTTACATCTCCCATGATATTTCTCAGTTCTGTTCTGCCGAAAACACTAGCCTTCCAAATATTTCAGACACTTGTCACCTGTTAGACTGCCCTCACCGGTACCTCTTCTTCCTAATACTTCCTTCCTGTTAAATTCCTTGGATGCCTGACATGGGCAATAATGGATGAAGTTCTCTCTCCTGCTCTCCACTGTCCCTGAAATGAAACACCATCAATGTTCTCTCTGTGTTACAAGGTATGCTTTCAGAACAGGGCCCCTCCTCCCCTATAGCACCAGGGGCCGCTCCATTATTAAAATGTCAGGGACACTACTGTTACAGACTGCAATGTCTAGGGTTATCTTCAACCATCCCTTGTTTCTCATTACCTGTGCCACTTGATTGTGTTTCTCAGGGATGTTTTTCAGATGGTTAGACTGTACACAGACGATGCTTCTGTCTAAAGAAAGAAAACGAATTTGCTTTATATGGTTTTCTTGATGAAAGGTTATTTAGAAATGTCTGGCCATTCAAATCCCCTCCTTCAGAGAGGCATACTCAGATTTGAAGAAGTACCTAATTCAAGCTCAAGGCCATTTTTCAGAGAAAACCTGTTTCCTGGTCTAGCCATTTCGAAGCTGATTCTTAAGAGAGCATAGAGCTAGTCTGCAATATTTTCTCTCATGCCTCAAATGCACCAATATGACAAGATCTGCTTTCTGTTCAGATTTTAAGAGGGAAATAAAATGTAATGGGCTTTGTTTTTGTTGCTGAATAATAGAACACTGACGTCATATACTCATTTAATTCAGCACACGGGGGGAAAAAGCCAAGTGCCTGCCCTAATGAACTGCAGTTTAAGGCATATGGGTATTAAACAGTGTGACTAATATAAAATGATGGCGTTTCAAGTGGATTTATTGAAAATGGGCAAAAGGAAAGTTCAGGAATGGAATCTGGGAATGGGTACTGGGATTAAGTCTCAGAAATACACCACTGTGAACTCCCTTACCACCACTCACCTCTTCTACCAATTACTTTAAGGCAGATTTATCACAGAAAGTCTAGTTTTCAGGGATATGGAGATATGAAATAGAAAAGGCGACTCTCTAATAAAGAGACTCCTCCCAGTACAGAAAAGGAGCATAAAATGATGATGATGACAATGGTGAGTGGGCAGTGGCAACAACATTAACATTTACTAAGTGCTAACTGGGGCTCAGGCATATGACTTTTCGAGGAAGAAAGGGTGAAAGTTGTGATTCCTAGTGCTATGTGACAATGACTACCCACCAAAAAGCATCCAAAATTAACTTTGTGATCACATTCTGCATCAAAGACTTCTCCTTCAAGGCTGCCATATTTTCCACTCCTCTCTACCCCTCCCCCCCGACACTGTTCCTATACCTTCCCTCTCCTCTCAGCCCTTGGTTTGCTATTTCTACTAGTCATGGCCTTCAACTGACCTCTCCAAGTTCCCAGGTAGTACCCCACGGTCTTCGGATTGCCATCTGGACCTTGGTTCACAGAGAAGGTGGACTTATTTCGGTAGCCATTGATGACAGGCTGGAGAAGGCGGGGCAGGAAGGACAAATGAAACCAAAGAGAACAGCAATAAAAGGAACGTAAGAATGTTCTCTGGATGAGGACAAATAAATGGCACTTTCTTGGAAGGTATGATGTTTGTGAAAGTCCATAGCTGAGGTCAAGACACTCCACAGGCACTTCATAGTGGAAAGGAGTTTCAATCTTGCCGTGAAGCAGGGGTCAGCGAACTTTCTCAGTAAAGAGCCAGATAACAAGTTATTTTAGGCTTTGCAAGTCATATGGTCCTTGTCACAACTACTTAACTCTGCCATGCAGTGCAAAAGCAGCCAGGGACAATCCATAAACAAGCAAGCTCAGCTGTGTTCCAATAAAACTTTACAAAAAAGCAGGGGTGGGTGACAGATACGGCCTAAGGGCCATAGCTTGCCAACCTCTGCCATAAATTAAATTCTGCCTCTCTGAGGCCTCATTCGGTTTCCAAAGTCTGAAATCTTTCTACAGAGGTAATACTGTAGTGGTTGAGAAAGTGAGCTTTGCATCAAATAGACCTGAGTGTGAACCTCAGCTCTGGCACTTTCTAAATGTGTGTCCTTGGGCAAATTACTTAATCTCTCTGAACCTCAACATCTTCATCTGTAAAACGATAGTACCTACCCCTCAGGGTGACTATAAACAGTCAATGATGATGCATGCTAATCACTTAGCACAGACAATGTGCTAGACAATGATGCATGCTAATCACTTAGCATAGGGCCTGGTCTCCAGAAAGTGCCCAGTAGGTACTGGCTGATATTATTAGCTATTAAGGGGACTTAGTAGATAAAGAATAGGGAAGTAGTGGCTTACAGAGGGTATAATAGGATGGAGAAGACAAGAGAGCCCCTCAGCTCTGGGTGCAGATGTTGTCACATTGACTCCATTGAGTTTTTGGAGGTAAGACTCTAGTCTCCGTAAAATTCTCTTCTGAGCTTCAAATTTTACCTACAAAAGAATATACGTAATGAAACAAAGAGACTTATGCAGTATCACCTCAAAAAATGGAAAACAAAGAGGAAAAGAGAAGGCTGTCCCACAGATTCTTGGGTCATGGTCTTAGCAGATAAGGAACCCATAATGATGGGACAGCAGTAGACCTAAGAAGGTACTGGGAGAAAGGTCAAAAGTGAGCTCTTGTGTAAGCTCTTCATTTTAACCGGTCTTTCAGATTGAACACCCAAGCTATAGGTCAGTGCTGTGATAATGGAAATGTTTTACGTTGGTATTATATGCCATATAATATGGTAACCACTAGTCACATGTGGCTAATGAGCACTTGAAATGAGGCTCATGTGACAGAGGAACGGGATTTTTTTTTAAAGATTTTATTTATTTATTTGACAGAGAGAGACATAGCGAGAGAGGGAACACAAGCAGGGGGAGTGGGAGAGGGAGAAGCAGGCTTCCCGCCAAGCAGGGAGTCCAACTCGGGGCTTGATCCCAGGACCCTGGGATCATGACCTGAGCTGAAGGCAGACACTTAACGACTGAGCCACCCAGGTGCCCCAGGAACTGAATTTTTAATCTCATTTAATTTTAGTTAATGTATATAGTTAGTTGCCTCTGCTATATCAGGACATACGCATTTCTATGCTATGCTATGCAAAATCACATGAAAGAAATCACAGGGCATTAAGAGTACACTTATCTTGATGAGCACTAATATATAGAATTGTTGACTCACTATACTGTACACTGGAAACTAATTTAATATTGTACGTTAACTATACTGGAATTAAAATTTATTTTATTTTTTTTGTTAAGGATTTTATTTATTTGACAGAGAGAGACACAGCGAGAGAGAACACAAGCAGGGGGAGTGGGAGAGGGAAAAGCAGGCTTCCCGCGGAGCAGGGAGCTCGATGTGGGGCTCGATCCCAGGACCCAGGGATCATGACCTGAGCCGAAGGCAGACGCTTAACCAACTGAGCCACCCAGGTGCCCCATGGAATTAAAATAAAAAAAAAAAAATGACAGGGCTCATGGGAAAAATGGGGTTAGGCACACACATTCCAAAACTTTATAGTATCACACATAGACAGGATAGGAACCTAACAAAAAGAGTAATACAGTTTTCCACATTCAATGGTTAAGAAATGGGGCGCCTGGGTGGCTCAGCTGGTTAAGCGGCTCGGGTCATGATCTCAGGGTCCTGGGATTGAGCCCTGCATGAGGGCCCTGGGATCGAGTCCTGCATCAGGTTGCCTGCCCAGTGGGGAGCCTGCTTCCCCCTCCCTGGCCCTCCTGCTGCTTGCGCACTCTCTCTCAAATGACTAAATCTTAAAAAAATAATAAAAAATTAAAAATTAAAAAAAATAAAAGGTTAAGAAATTTATAGATAGATACTACAATAAGGATGGCACTTTACCCTGACAAAGACCTGAAGTTTGCTTGTGGAAGTGGCTGTCCACTTGGGAATGATCCTGAAGTGGTGAAAGGAGGGTTATGTGTCACACACAGAAAGATCTAGCAGCAGACGTGGATGAGCATGGCTCATACCACACTCAGTGAACTGCGGGAACCCGTAGATGCTTGAGGTACGTGTGCGTGTTCATTTTATGCATTCTTATGCAGCACGGTTCTGCTGGGTACAGTTTGCTTCTTTCATCTGGTGTTTCTCGTGGACAAAAAAAAGAAATCACTCCTAAGCCAACGTGAAATTTGCATTATGTTCAAATTGTTCCTTAATCTATCAATCCCTTGGGGCGCCTGGGTGGCTCAGTTGGTTAAGTGACTGCCTTCGGCTCAGGTCATGATCCTGGAGTCCCGGGATCGAGTCCCACATCGGGCTCCCTGCTCGGCGGGGAGTCTGCTTCTCCCTCTGACCCTCTTCCCTCTCGTGCTCTCTATCTCTCTCATTCTCTCTCTCTCAAATAAATAAATAAATCTTTAAAAAAAAATCTATCAATCCCTTGGAACAAATTTGTGTTTTTAAAACAAGCATTACAGCAGAATTGACTGTATTTAAAATCAAATAGCCACATGTAGCTATAGTGGCTACCGGGTTGTAAAGTGCAGGTATGTATAAAGCAGCAAGAGTACTTGCTACTCACACATACAGAGAATAACAAAAAAGCAAGGGAGAAAGGAAACAGGCATTTCCCGCTATGTCTCCAGAGTTTGGAAGACGTAACAGGCGTAAAGTTAAAATTTCAGATTCATATTACTCAGCCACCAAAAAAAATGAAATCTTGCCATTTGCAATGATGTGGATGGAACTGGAGGGTATTATGCGAAGTGAAATAAGTCAGGCGGAGAAAGACAAATACCATATGATTTCACTCATATGTGGGATTTAAGAAACAAAATAGATGAACAGAGGGGAAGGGAAGGAAAAATAAAATTAGAACAAAACCAGAGAGGGAGACAAACCATAAGAGACTCTTAACTCTAGGAAACAAACTGAGGGTTGCTGGAGGGGAGGTGGGGCGGGGGATGGGGTAACTGGATGATGGGCATTAAGGAGGGCATGTGATGTAATGAGCACTGGGTGTTGTATGCAACTGACGAACCACTAAATTCTACCTTTGAAACTAATAATACAGTATATGTTAATATAAAAAACTAAATACATTTGAAAAAAACTTTTCAGGGCACCTGGGTGGCTCAGTTGGTAAGCGACTGCCTTTGGCTCAGGTCATAATTCTGGAGTCCCAGGATCGAGTCGAGCAGGGAGTCTGCTTCTCCCTCTGACCCTCCCCTTCTCATGCTCTCTCTCTCAAATAAATAAGTAAAATCTTTTAAAAAAAAACAAAAGAGAAAAGCTTTTCATTAGCATATTGATTTTAAGCACCTGTTGGGGGATCTGGGTAGAGCTGTCCAGTCAAGCTCCCTACAAGTCTGGCACCATTCCCCCTGATGGAACTGCGGAGTGAAAACATAAGCTGGGTACCAACCTTGAGCTGTTCCTCATAGCTCAGCCTCCAGAGTGGCGTCACAACATCAGCCAGCCTTAAAAAAAAAATAGTTCAGGCACTTCATTCATTATATAAATATGTACTGAGCACCTACTATGCATAAGTACTTCCTGCCACCATTTTCTCTGGCATTTTACTTATTCAGAAAACCTAACTCTCATGCCCCTGGGGAGATACAGTCTGGGAGAAGAGCCCATTTTGGTGCTGTCTACTTAACAAAGCAGAACAGATGGACAAACTTAATATAAGAAAAATCCAGATTTATCAGGAGGTAATTAATCATATTACAAAAGGCTTCACTGTTGGGTTCCTTTAAATAGCTCACCTCCCTAATGCTTTTAAAATATAATTTGATTTAGAAAATACATTTGTTGCATAAAATGAGGTATATTTGTGTTTGCATGGCTGCAACGGGACTATTCATTTGTAAGCCATCTGATCGCTCTCTGGATTCCTGGTTTTCAGCATACCTGCCCTGGACCTTTATAGAGACAAGGTCCCAGTTTAATATCTCATTTCTGTGAAAAACATACTTAGAGGCAAGGAGAATATGCCATCACAAAGCATCTCCACCAACATTCTTCAGGTGTCTTCAAATTTGCCCTGGGTATCCTACCTCAGGCACCCCCTTGACCCCTTGCAATGCCACGTTAGTTACATCAGGAATACAGAATTTTAGGAGACCCAGAGATTCAGACTTGCTAATGGGAAACACTATCCGCCTGGGTCTTACCTTTCCTGCCAGGAACCATCAAGTGGTCCAACATGGCTTGGTTTCTTCTGACTTTTCTGTCCTCTTTGACACTTCTTGGGTATCATGTCGGTGAAGTTTCCCTCACATGCTGAGCCCAAAAAGAGCTGTGACCAACCCGGAGGCTTTGTGGCACACCAGGGGAGCGATCCTGGTTTGGGGAGGAGACCCACCCTGGAGAGGAAACATCTCGGGCTATGCATTGGGACTCTTCTCTTAATCCCTGCCAACCACAGAAACACCTGCATGAAAAGTGAACAACCAGAAGTTGGGAAACAGAAGCACAACTCCCAAAACCCTTCATTCATTTACAAACCCTTACAAAAGCTCAGCACCCAGCACAGTGCCTGGCACAGAGTCAACACTTGGTAAAAGCAGGCCTGCTGAATGGAACTGAATTACTGCGTGTCAGGTACTGGCTTAGGTTCCCAAAATAAAAAGATGAGGAAAATATACTCTTTGTTCTCCAGGGAAGAGTTCAACACTCTAGATACACTTCTATAGCTAGTCCCTCTCTATATTCTACCCTCCCACCCAAAACCAACCAGTCAACTACTATTTAGTACGTGCTAGACTATGTGCAAGACACCGTGCCACACAAGATTACAATCTAATTGAGAAGATCAAGTGCAGATGCAGAAAAAGATGACAATAAACACAATGTGCTTAGTTCCTGACAAATGCTCAGGAAAAGCTTCCCAGAGCAGGTAAGCCTTGCACCAGGACTTAAAGGATGGCAGGGAGCTGAAACAGATGGCTAGACCAGTCTGGCTAAAACAGTAATTCATTTTGGGGAACAGAGGAAATGAGGTTGAAAAGTTACATCAAAGTGAGATCTGGAAGAACTTTAATGCCTGAATAAAATATGGACTTTATTATGAAGGCAACAGTGAGCTGATGGAGGCTTTATGTAGAGAAATAAAGATGAAATAGGGAGGTTAATGAAAAGCAAGTTCAACCACAGGGATGTCCACTCTCACGACTGCTGTTCAACATAGTACTAGAAGTCCTAGCCTCAGCAATCAGACAACGAAAAGAAATAAAAGGCATCCAAAGCAGCAAAGAAGTAGTCAAACTGTCACTCTTACCAGACAACATGATACTCTATGTAGAAAACCCAAAAGACTCTACCAAAAAATTGCTAGAACTGATACAGCAAGAGGGGCCTGGGTGGCTCAGTTGGTTAAGCATCTGCCTTCGGCTCAGGTCATGATCCCAGGGTCCTGGGATAGAGCCCCGCATCAGGCTCCCTGCTCAGCAGGGAACCTGCTTCTCCCTCTCCCTCTGACCCTCCCTCTTGTTCATGCTCTTGCTCTCTCTCTCTCTCTCAAATGAATAAATAAAATAAGACAGTCTCTTCAACAGATGATGGGAAAATTGGACAGCCACATGCAAAAGAATGAAACTGGACCACTTTCTTACACCATACACAAAAATAAACTCAAAATGGATGAAAGACCTAAATGTGAGACAGGAATCCATCAAAATCCTAGAGGAGAACACAGGCAGCAACCTCTTTGACCTTGGCCGCAGCAACTTCTTGCTAGACATGTCTCCAAAGGCAAGAGAAACAAAAGCGAAAACGAACTATTGGGACATCACCAAGATAAAAAGCTTTTGCACAGCTAAGGAAACAGTAAACAAAACTAAAAGGCAACCTACCCAGTGGGAAAAGATATTTGCAAACGTCCTATCAGACAAAGGGCTAGTATCCAAAATCTATAAAGAACTTATCAAACTCAACACCCCAAAAATCCCAAAAAATCCAGTAAAGAAATGGGCAGAAGACATGAACAGACATTTCTCCAAAGAAGACATACTAATGGCCAACAGACACATGAAAAAACGCTCAACAGCACTCCACATCAGAGAAATACAAATCAAAACCACAACAAGATACCACCTCACACCAGTCCAAATGGCCAAAATTAACAACACAGGAAACAACAGATGTTGGCGAGGATGCAGAGAAAGGGGAACCCTCTTACACCATTGGTGGAAATGCAAAGTGATGCAGCCATACTGGAAAACAGTATGGAGATTCATCAAAAATTTGAAAATAGAGCTACCCTATGACCCAGCAATTGCACTACTAGGTATTTAGCCAAAGGTTACAAACATAGTGATTCAAAGGGGTACATGCACCCCAATGTTTAGAGCAGCAATGTTCCACAATAGCCAAACTATGGAAAGAGCCCAGATGTCCATCAACAGATGAATGGATAAAGAAGAGTGGTGTATATATACAACAGAATACTACTCAGCCATCAAAAAGAATGAAATGTTAGCATTTGCAATGACATGGATGGAACTGGAGGGTATTATGCTAAGCGAAATAAGTCAGTCTGAGAAAGACAAATACCGTATGATTTCACTCATATGTGGGATTTAAGAAACAAAACAGATGAACAGAAGGGAAGGAAAAACAAAATAAGATGAAAATAGAGAGCAAGGCAAACCATAAGAGATGCTTAACTCTAGGAAACAAACTGAGGGTTGCTGGAGGGGAGGTGGGTAGGGGGAAGAGGTAATTGGGTGATGGGCATTAAGGAGGGCACTTGAAGTAATGAGCACTGGGTTTTAATATGCAACGATGAATCACTAAATTCTATCCCTGAAACTAATTAAATTGAACATATAAAGAATTTAAATCAAGAATTTAATAAAATTCTATTATTCTGATCTAATTCTAAATCAGTTCTAAATCAAGAATTTAATTAAAAAATAAAAATTAAAAAGAGGGAAAAAAAAAAGCAAGTTCAGGGGCGCCTGGGTGGCTCACTGTGTTGGGCATCCAACTCTTGGTTTTGGTTCAGGTCATGATCTCATGGGTCATGGGATCAGGCCCCGCATTGGCCTTTGTGCTCAGCAGGGAGACTGCTTGAAGATTCTGTCCCTCTGCCCCTCCCCCTGCTCACACATGCTCTCTCTCTCTCTCTCTAACAGATAAATCTTTAAAAAAAAGCAAATTCATGTTTGAGACATGTGTTTGCAATGGTAAGGAAAATATCCAAATGGAAACATCTAACAAGTAGAGAAGCAGTACTATGAGTCATGAGAGAAGTCTGGGTTAGAGATTTGGTTGAGTGTCTACAAGTACAAGCTGTAAGATTTTTTTTTTTTTTTTTTAAAAAGGAGCTTTCAGTAAAGAGAAGAGCAAAAGACCAATGACTACACCTGGGAAAAAGACTATCTGGAGAACAAGAAGAGATGCTGGTGACCCAGGAGAACATGGAGCTTAGAGGCCAAGGAAGATGCTTTTAGGTAAGACACTGACATATCCAGTAAGTCAGAGTCCAAAGAAAGAAGTGAAATAAGGCAGGAGTAAGTGGCAGATAGGAGGGACAAATGAAGGTTTGAGATCTTAGGCATGGAGACCCTAGAGTCAGGCAGACCTGAGTGGTCGCCTGACTCCACCACTTACTACTTAGGTGGCCTTTGGCAAGTCAATCATTCCCCATGACTTTCCTTTTTTTTCATCTGTAAAATGGAGATAATAATAGTACCTACCTCATATAGTGGTTATAAGAGTTAAATAAAGGATAATTAATAAAAAGTACCCAGCAGGGCGCCTGGGTGGCTCAGTTGGTTAAGCGACTGCCTTCGGCTCAGGTCATGATCCTGGAGTCCCGGGATCGGGTCCCGCATCGGGCTCCCTGCTCGGCAGGGAGTCTGCTTCTCCCTCTGACCATCTTCCCTCTCGTGCTCTCTATCTCTCATTCTCTCTCTCTCAAATAAATAAATAAAATCTTTAAAAAAAAACAAAACATATTTAAAAAAAAAAAGTACCCAGCAGAAGATTAAATAGAGCTGATGTTTGTAAAGCTCTGAGCACAGTGCCCAGTACCTGGTGAAAACTTAGTTAACTGTCATGATGCTTAAAGACAGTACAGGACCGGGTGGGGGTGGCAATATTGACAAAGGGGAGCATGGGGCCGGGAGGGGGAGAGGACAAGTAGGAGTAACTATAAGGCAAAAGCTGAAAGAGTCAGAACAGGTGAGGGCCTCACTTTGGAAAGAGGAAGGAATCCCTTTGCCTCCAATACAGGACTCAGTGTTGGTGCCTATTTATGGTTTCTGATCACTGCTGTGTAACCTGTTTGGGTACCAAGGACACATGAATGGACTTGGCTGGACACCTTAATGATGAGCTGTGAAATTACCTTTTTGCCCTTGTCCTCTACCTTGGATTACATCCCAATGTTAAGTCATACCTTAATTCAGAACACACACACACACACACACGTTTCCAATGTATGTAACCGATTTATTAACAGAGATTCTTCCATGGCTTCCTCTTATCACTGAGAAATTAGTATGCTGTGACCACTGGGTAATAAAGGATGCTGGTATGGGTGCTATAGTATTTAGCCCATATACCTCTTTGTGTGTTTACAAAATACTAAAGAACTGTCACAACATGGAAGCATTTGCGGGGGATCTTCAAAAATTTCTAACAAAACATACTTAAGCTGTCTCAAAATTGAGGTGTTAATAGATAGCACCCTCTACACAACTCCCAGGAAAAGGCAAGTTATTAAGAACATGGGCTTTGGAGCCATATTCTAATCTCAGCTCTGCTGCTCACTAGCTATGTGACTTTGGGCAAGTTACTTAAAGCACTATGAATGTCAGCATCATCATCTATAAAAATAGGACTAGTACCTTTCAAGGTTGTGCTAAGAATTAAACAAGCTCGGATGCCTGGGTGGCTCAGTCGGTTAAGTGTCTGCCTTCGGCTCAGGTCATGATCCCAGTGTCCTGGGATCGAGGCCCGCATCAGGCTCCCTGCTCAGCGGGGAACCTGCTTCTCCCTCTGCCTGCCACTCCCCCTGCTTGTGCTCACTCTCTCTCTCTCTCTGATAAAGAAAGAAAAATCTTAAAAAAAAAAATTAAAGGAGCTCATATATATGAAGTGCTCATGATGGCACCTAACACAGTAGGCATTTGACATGTGTCACTGCCCCTCCTTAGGCTCTGATTCGAAGCACATCACTTGATTTCTTCATGCCTCGACGTGTCTGACCTGCAAAACCGGCGAAATGTAATAAAGCCTGTGAGTGCCGTTAGGATAAGTAAAATTATGTGGGAAACTTATAAAACAAAACACAAACCAAAGAACTTTCATAACATTCTGCATTAGTGCCTGCTGGAGTGTGGTGAGCTTAAGGCCTGCCCCGGACCACCTATGAATACTATCAAGTGTGTGATCTGTGATAAACATTTTTCTAAAGTGAGACAAAAGTATGTATTTGATATGAAGAAAAGCAAAAGCCAGAGAGAGGAAATGAGTGAAGAGGTAGGAGACAAAAAATAAGGAATGGGCAGAATGGGGGCAGACTGCAGGGGGAGGGTGTGCTGCAGGCCCATTTAGGGGTTGGCAGAGGAGGGACAGGGGAGCTGAGGGCTGAAGACAACTATCTGTACCCCACAGCATTCAGACTTTTTCTGAGTGTGTGGGTCCTCTCACTGGTGAATGCCACCAGGACTGTGTTCTACTTGCCCTGTATCCCAGCAGTAGGCTCTTGTGCATCTAGGTTTCTTCCTCCAAATTATCAGCTTTGGTCTAAAATAGGACCCCACTATTGCCAACCGGTCACCGCTCCTGGTAAAGACCCTTTCATCATATTTAGTAATTTCTGAAGTGAAATATATTTTTCAAGGCAGCATAATAATACCAAAGTGAATTATGTTTCTTTGTTTCTTGATGTCGGAGGGGGCATCTGCCCACAGAAAAGACTAGTTTCTTTTCAGAGGTCTTCCTGTTTTAAAATAAATGCTTGGGTTAAAAAAAAAAAAAAAGTGTGTGACATCTGCTCAGTTTCTCCTATAGGAATTAACCGGAAAGGGACTCAGGGTCCAGAGCTGCTAGATAGGAAGGAAGGCTAAGTCTCTAGGGCTGGAATAGCTAACCTGCCTGAAATGCTCAGAGATTCCAATCTGAGACTATGTGGTAGGTCTGATCCGTGTAGGGCCAAAGAGCTTCTTGGAGCAAAATGTTAACCCACAGACAAGGGTCCTGCTTACACTCTCTGTTCATCCTTCCTTCAGCTGGCCTGGCCCCACACACGGTTCTTGGCTAGAGGAGATGGACATAAAGGTGTATTGCTGAGTCCTCGCGGCAATGCACGCTCCATCAGGTCCTTCCCCCACCAGACCCCCTCACCAGCCCCTCCATCCCCCTCTTCTCCGGGCAAGTTCTACCCACCGCGTCTGTGGGAAAGACTATCACTGAACTTGGACCAAGGGAGGGCTGAGGTCACAGCACGGGCGGACGCAGGGCTGGCCGCAACCTTGGACAGCCAGCATAGGTCAGGTCCGCGTGTCCCCCACCTCCGCCGGCCTCCTCAATTCCCCGCCACGCAGGCAGACTGGCTCGCTAAGCAGTTTTCTCTTCAGTACGGGTTCAGTCGGGTTTCCGAGCTCTCCACGTACCCCCCCCCCCAATACCTTTGCAACCAATAAATCGTCTTACAAACCTGAAGCGGCCAACGAAAAAGTCAGCGGCCGGCCTGGATCTCTGCCGCTGGGGCGAGTCACTTCCTGGTGCGCACGGCGGCTCGACTCCCGACGCACACGCAGCCAGGCCGGGGCAGGCGCGACGGGACGCGGGGCTCCTCCCAGGCGCGGGTCAGCCGGGCCTGCCCCGGACAGCCAGTTTCGGGGAGTCCTCCTCCCTACCCTAACCGGGCGCTTCTCTAGACAGCTTCCTCCAAATCACTCAACGCCCTATTGCCCCCTTCCCCCCTCCCCCCGCCCCAAGGCTTCTCCCCAAGGTCCCCACTCCTCCCCTCCTAGGGACCCCGCCCACCGCCTGCTCTTCTCCCCGTCCCATTGGCGGACCTGGATAAGCCTCAAAAATCACGAAGAAATTTGAACTACAGCGCTACCCATCGCAGGGGTGCTTGCGATTTAACCAAAATTATAGGCTCAGATCCATGATGGCTTGGAAGATTGGGAGATGAAGGGTAGGATGGTTTCTTCAAATCGCAACTTTTTGTAAAAGTCGGCCCTTTTTGGA